TGGGGTTTGGGAGATGAGCAAAGAGACTGTACAGAAGCACTCTCTAGCCCCAAACTCACAGACAGTAACTCCGAAACGCAGTTAACCACAAGGTAAAGGCCATTTCTCCCTATCCTCTCCCTCTCTCCCCCGCTCCCCGCCTGGACACCTGGTGAAAATGCAAACTGCAGGTGTACCTGGAGCGAATACCATGATTTCCTCCAGCCGCTATGCCCCCAGGTAAGGAGAGACAGAGGGACGGGCGGAAGATCAGGACTTGAAGGGCTCCGGTGTAAGGCTCCGGCCGGTCACCGGTCAGAACCTCGGACAGCTCCTTGCAGCGTCTTCCCGGGGCCGAAGCTTCAGCCGCTGCGGCGCGCTCAGCCTCCACAATGCACTGCTCCGCCGGGGGCCACCGCGGCGGCAGGAGGAGGAGACGGAATGCCTGCTCAGTTCATCCCTCCTTCGTGTGCCAGCGCAGCGTACATTGCTGCTTAGGGAGCAAAACACTTTCTCCGCTTCCACGGAAGGAGGAAGGACGGAAGAGGAAGAGAGAAAAGGTAATTGCCCAGCCTCCCGGCAGGGGACAGCTAATTGCTTCTAATTACCTGCTGTTGCTAGCCCGGTGGATATTGAACTGACATTTAGCACGGGTTTGTCTTTTTTTTTTTTTTTTTTTTTTTACTCAAAGAGCATTACTCTCAAAACTGACTCTCAGTTACTCAAGTTGGTTTAGCTCGGAAGGAAAGGTGGGATCTCCAAGTTAATGGGTATTTGGGGTCCAACTCTCCTCTCTCCCCCGACTTCTAGTCTTCTGCCAACACCAGGAAGAGAGCAGGAGGGAAGAACTGGGTGATTATGAAGCTTATACGGAGGGCATCGCTACTAGGCCTCCTCCCAGGCCACCAGTTGGCCTCTGAAAGGTCCTAAGTTTAAAAGCCTTCAAGGTTATCACTTCAGGGAAAGCAGGGCTGGCCAGCATAGAGAAAAAGAGAACTCAGTGATGCAAGTCTCCACCCACAAAAAAATATCCTATGAAAGGATGAATCACCAGTGTGTGAACAACCCTGAAACCAATCAAGAAAACTTACTGCTTCCCCTACTTTAACCCAGCTGAAAACTAAGCCCCAATCCATATACATCCAGGTCTACTATAAAAATACTGGGTCAGGCTGCACAGTCATTTCATGATTCTAATCTATTGCTCATTTTAAGGCACTATATAGTTCCCCAAGTAATGCTTGTGCAGTGTGGACAGCTCACACTAGATGTTATCCAACTTCAAACAGGCCAATGTGTATTCCAACCCCAGAGCTAAAGCGTCACAGGATCCTCCATATAAAAGCAGATGTCAGTCATTTTGGGTTTTATTCTCTGTTTTTGCAGCTGAATGTTTTTTCCAAGAACAAAGAGTAATAGGGATTATTTCCAATGTTGTATGGGTTTTGTGTACTTGCTCTCCCTGGAAAATATAGCTATCCTGAAAAATACAATACTTCTTAAAAATCTAGTTTGTAGCCATAATTCTACACTCTTTTGGCAAATATATAGCATTCAAATAGCCTTATTGGCACTGATTTTGTTCAAAGCCATCTGATAAATTGAAAATGCAAGTAGTTTTTACAGCTCTTGAACTACAGTTTGCATGAAAGCATATGGGCAATCTCAACATAACACAACCAGTACTGCTCTTAATACCTGGCTCAACAGAGGCTGGAACAGATGGGACCTGTCTCAGCAGTCACAAGATGCGCGTCAGCTGATGGGCAGGATGAAGTGTGTACATGACAGGATGCAAACCTCTCACATCCCCCAGTTACACAAAAGTTAGGGATCAGTGAAGCCTCACTCTGTTTTCTTTGCTTTACCATCAGGGGAAGTGTGAATATTTGAAATAACATTTAAATCATCCATTTCTTTTAACATACTCAAAAGGGTTCCCTTTTACAACCTTTTCTCTTTTTTATTTCTTATGGTATATATATATAATATTATAAATTTTATTTTTATATTCCCCATACAATTGTGACCCCTTATTTTGACCCCAATTCCTCCCCTCCCCGCCCTCTACCCCCCATAGAGTGTCTCTGGTTCATAGTTGTTTGTTGATTTTGATTTTTTCTTTCTTATAGTTATTCTTTTTCCTGGTCCCTTATTTAAGTTTTCTAGATTCCTGCTATGAGTGAGACCATCCGGTATTTTTCTTTTTCTTTCTGGCTTATTTTGCTGAGCATGATCCCTTCCAGCGCCATCCATGTTGCTGCAAATTGCATGTGTTGATCTTTTTTGAATGCTGAGTAATATTCCATGGTGTATATGTACCACATCTTCTTGATCCAGTCATCTATTTTTGGGCATTTGGGTTGTTTCCAAAGCTTAGCTATTGTAAACAGTGCTGCTATAAACATAGGGGTGCTGGTGCTCTTTGGAATTGATGTTTCTGTGTCCTTTTGGTAAATACCTAGTAGTGGAATTGCTGGATCATATGGAAGCTCTATGTTTAGTAGGTCAAGAAATCTCCACACAGCTCTCCATAGTGGTTACAACCTTTTCTTAATGAACTTTATTCTCCTAGTTCATAAACAATTACTCAAAACTAAGTTCAAGAAAAAACACTGATATAGAAATAGAAAAAAAGACTTTGGAATCAGTCAGACACAGCTAGAACAGCTCCACCAATTACAAATTATATAACCTTAGATAAGTTACTTATTTAACTTTTGCAATATAAGGATTAAGACACTTGGAAGAGGGCCTCCCTGGTGGTGCAGGAGGTTAAGCACAGCGCTGTGAAGCTCTCCACAGCCTCTGCAGCGCGGGTTTGATCCCTGGCTGGCCAGGGAGATACCCACATGGCACGGCAGACCTCTCCTGTCTCACCCGCTGCTCCCCTCAGCAGTGTATTTCAGTCAGTCTGCCTGCTCTGCTCCCCACTCTGTCTCTGGTGAATCCTCTCACCCTCCCACACCTCTGGCCTGCACCCCAGTTCTTGTATGCATAAATAAATAAATCTTTAAAAAAAAGATAGCTAGAAGATGTGTTGTCAAGATTAAATGTGATAATGGGCTAATGGATTAAACAAGTGAGTACACAGACCCAATTACATCTATTCCAGGAAATCACTGACTCTTGTAAATAGATGAGACCCTAGAGGGATGCAATTAAGTATGTTAGATCAGTACTGCTCAAATAGTAATGTGCATATGAATCCATGGAGATCTTGTTTAAAATACAGATTACGATTCAGTAAATCAGGGTGGGGCCTGAGATTTTACATTTCTAGTAAGCTCTCAGGTACTGCAGATGTTGCTATTCAATTTACTATCTTGAATAGCAAGGTATTAGATGTATCAGCATTTAAAACAAAAGAAATAACTTATATCTCCAACCTCAGAGCACATTTTTCCAACTGTTAAATAAGGAAGCAACCTAGATGGGTTCCCATAGGCTTCCAATGTAGCCAGAGTCTAAGACAGTAATCGAAAGAATGCTGAAAATGATCCCAAAGTGCCTTTGATTAGCCTGTTGTGACAATAAAAGGGAATGGAATCTAGTAAAAACCAATGCAATGGGTCAAAGACAACACTGTAATAATTTTTATGCTACTTCATCAGTAAAATCTATATTCAACAATATTACCTCCAATATTTACTACCACTGGTGTTATTATTCTGTTCATTTAATTTAAATACCTTATAATGTCACTAGATTTTTATTTTTTTTTAAAAGATTTTTTATTTACGCATATAAGAACTGGGGGGTAGGCCAGAGGTATAGGGGGTGAGAGGATTCACCAGAGACAGAGTGGGGAACAGAACAGACAGTTATACTAAAATACACTACCGAGGGGATCAGCCTGAGAGAAAGGCGAGGTCCACCTCTTCATGTGGATTAGCTCTCTGGCTCAGGATGGAACTCATGCTGCAGTGGCTGGCGACAGCTTGATAGTGCTGAGACTGAAATCCTTGTGCCACCAGGGAGGCCCTAGAATTTTATTTCTTAGTGTAAGCAATCAATTTAATAAAAGAATACCTGATAGGAAAACGAAAATTCCCTTTAAGTCTACCATATGAGCCAGATTTTTTAATAGATCATTTATTTAGTCCCTATAACTAAAACTTCAATTCTCAATACAGTTTGACTCTTTCTCTTTTTAAATATCCCCACTCGGGGTGGCTCAACTCTCTACTCAAATAATCCATTGCATTTTGAGATAGTCATTTACCATTTACCAGTCATTTACCAGCCATGTTTTTTTGAAAGGGAACATCAGCAGAACTTCCTTACTTAGTCATTTACCAGAGAAGTATAAAAGTATTAAAGTGTTTTTGCATGTTTAAAGAGTAGAGGACAATGTCTCTGTCAGTTTGCATTTTATGAATTTGTTCATGAGTCCTTTGAGATGCTTCAAGAGGGATGCTCTAACAGCCATGTTTTTTTGAAAGGGAACATAAGCAGAACTTCCTTACTTAGTCATTTACCAGAGAAGCAGCCATGGCTACCACTTCCTACCTCATTCTAGCACCTTTATTTCCAGTCAATGACAGGAATAGTGATAGGAAGCGAGATAGTAACCAAGTTGGACTTGATGCCCTGACTTTCTTGCTGTGATGCTGAATTATCAAACTGGGCACTCTTACTATAGAGATACTTGACAAGGTATTAGATGATTGGAAGGCATGCACACACACACCCTAATAGAACAAAATATTTTACTTAGAGGCTTGGGATAATTTTTCATAACAAAAAAAAAAATGAACATGGATACACTAAGAAATGTTGATTATTTTCACTAGAGCCTCCAAAGAAAATACCAAAGGCAGATTAGGGTTACAACCCTCAGACTTTACCACATCCCCATCCATTCCTGCTAATATTTATTTACTCTATTCTGTCTCTAGAAATTTAAATAAATAGATAAGTTTGAAACCCATTCTAGAATATTCCCACTGTTCCCATTATTAGCAACTCACATTGGCTCCACTCAGGACCTGATTCTTCCCAGTCCATACTTACTTTAAAAGCATTATTCAACCAGGGCCTCCCCTGGTGGCGCAGCGGTTGAGCACTGGGCTGCAAGGCTGCCCGCAGCCTCTACAGTGCTGGTTCCTTCCCTGGCCACTGGCGAGGATCCCACCAAAAAAAAAAAAAAAAAAAAAAAAAAGGCATTATTCAACCAAATAAAATTTCAAATAAGTTTAGCATCTCTAAGCACATTTGAAATAGATTGCAAAGAAACATTTTCATTATGAAGCATTAAACCATAATTGTTTCCAAATGTCTAGACTTGTAGGTTTCAAGTAATATAAAAATGAAATGCTAGAATCTCTTTTCTTTTCCTAAGAACTGCTCGAAGTCACTGAATTGGGCCTAAGATAGGGTATAGACGTGAAGTAAAGCAGCAATAAGATAAGGAATGTGAAAATATGGTACAAAGAAATATAAAAATAGAAATACTGAATGAGGTAGAAGACATTGAAAACCTAATCTTGTACTCTCCAATCTGTAAGAGCTGTTAAAAAAATATACAGAGAGGGAAAGAGCACGAATTGAAAAGAAATGAAGATAGAAGATGAAACAAAGGGAAAGGAAGAATAAAAATAATGACTAATACATTAGAAAAAGAAATGGGAAATATTAAAGTATTTTTGCATGCTTAAATAGTATAGGACAATGTCTCTGTCAGTTTGCATTTTATGAATTTGTTCACGAGTCCTTTGAGATGCTTCAAGAGGGATGCTATAACAACTATGTTTTTTGAAAGGGAACATCAGCAGAACCTCCTTACTTGAAAAAGTACATTAGAACAGTTAAAATTTTATAATTTTTTTCCTTTAAAATATCTAATTTTGCTTGAAGAACTTTTGTCCATTTTTGGACCAAAATGTTCTCCCAAATTGCCAAAAAATGTTGATGACAGAAGAGGGAGAATCAATGTTAAGGACAACATTCACCTTAAAGCCACGTCGGCTAGTTTTTAATAAGAAGCATAAAATGTTCAACTCACCTAACATTCAATTCACCTTCAAAACTGTAAACAGACAAAATGAAACTTTATAAATTCTGAATGCATAAATCTATCCATTTATGGACGTCACATGAAGTCAGCTTCAAAAGAGAAAAATCAAAGAGTGGAAGAAAAGAGATAAAGATAGAATAAAAAGAAATAGGAGAGGAATATTAGTGGAAGAGAGGCAGGAACAGGAAACAGAACTAACTTCAAGATCATATAAAGGCAGAAGGGTACAAAAAGCAAAAAAAGTGGCATATTGAGAAAAGCAAGAGATTTTTAAAAACAAGAGGAGAAAAAAAAAAAAAAAAGAATGACAAACTTTCTTAAGTGTCATGACAGCCCACACTAAGAAACCGAGTGTTCTTATATCCTGTTCGTCTGGGCTGTATGTTTAAGAATGAATTTACTCTCTACCTTTGGAAACGCTTACTAATTTAAACACTAATTCAAAGCATTTCATCTCTTTTAAAGGGCTCAGTTCAGAATTGGGAGAGTTATGGTGTTATTTTTTAGACCATGGTAGATGTAATAAGCAATCAAAATTTATTGGTTAATTTTTAAACTTATTTTGAAAAATCACATCTAAAACATAAAAGATATTCTTTGCAACCCAAGATAGACAAAGATTTCCTAGATAAAACACAAATCATAAAAGAAAATAATTGATAAATTGTGGTTCAAAGTTAAAATTTTCTTCTATGTATCTGAAAAACACTGTTAAGAAAATAAAAATGCAAGTTATAGACTTGGATAAAATATTCACACTATGTATATCTGACATACATTTATAATTCTTGCAACTCAAGAAGACAACAACCCAACTAATACTTGCCAAAATATTTATATACCAACCGTGTTAGAATTATAGTACATGATAATATTGCCATAACATTATAAGCAATTATGACTTCTTAGCATTATTGGCCATCAGAGAAATATAAATTAAAATCACAGTGAGAAATTATTACATACCCAGTAAAATGGGGAAAATTAAGAGAACTGACAATGCAAAGTGTTACTGAGACATGAAGAAACTAGAACTCTCATACATCACTCATAGGAATATAAAATTTTACAATCATATTGAAAACAGTTTGATAGTTTCTTAAAACATTAAACGTACATTTACCCTACAATCCATACATTCCAATAATAGGTGGTTACCCAAGAGAAGTGAAAAATGTGTCCACACAAAGACTTATACATGAATATGAATAGAAGCTTTACTCATCACAGCCAGAAAGTGAAAACAACCTCAAAGCCCATTAACATTATATGGCTATATAAACTGTGACACATAGAGCTAACAACTTGGATCAGTCTCAGAAACATGCTGAACATCAGAAGCCAGATACAACAGAGGCACACTGTTTGATTCCATTTATATAAAATTCTAGAAAAGGCTAAAGAAGTTGTAGTGACAGAAAGCAGAGTAATAGTTGCCAGGGTTTGGAGATGTGGAGAAGTAGATTGCGCTTGACTGAAAAGGTACAGGAGAGGACAAACATTTCTTTTCACCCTTCATGATTCTTTTGACTGGTAAAATAATAAATTAACATCAATCAGATTAACAGAAGAAAAACAAATTTAAATACCTATGTATGGGGATCCCACTATAATATAAAAAGTCTAAAGACATTCAGACAAAATAAGGTATATATGCCATTTGGGACTAAGGGAAGGGGGTCAGAGGTCTGGAATCTCAAGGGAAAGAGGAAAGAACTCACATGAGGAGGATGGGGTGACTCATGATGACCAGATGCTCTGTAATTACATGTTTTCCAGCTGTATAGTTAGGTTTGCCTGATGGAGAGGTTATTTCTGGTAAAAGTCCTAATTCTGGGTAAGACCCCCAATTTTCATTCTTTTAGGTGGTTAAGGTAGTGATAAGCTTTCTCATGAGTCTGCAGAGCCTTAAATGACCACAACTCAAAATAACCTACATGTCAAATGACACATTGCAGAAAGGCCTATCATTCAATATCTTATTATATACTAAGAACAGTGTTAGATACTAAAGATTCAAAGACCTAAAAGAGAGGTATCCTCTCCAGTAGAAAAGGTTGAAACTTACCTGTTTTATTATCACAGTATTCACATCTAAGCATGGACTTATCTGTACAGCAGTCATTCAATAAATGCATGTTGAATGATGATACCAAGTTGTATGTAAATTCTTTGTCTGAATTTATTTTAATGAATTCTGTGATTGTTCTCATTCTAAAGACAGGAAAATGAGGCACAGAGAAATTAAATAATTTTGCAAAGGTCACACAGCCTGTGAATAGTATAGCCAAAATTTAAACTCAAGTAAGAAAGATTAAAAAACAAAGCAGGACTGAATATAGAGTTGTTCTCTTCTCTCCTGAATATCATTTTCTTTTTTTTTTTTTAACAGAGGCATGTTTTATTTATTTATTTATTTGTTTGTTTGTTTTGTTTATACATGCACTGGGTACAGTCAGAAGCGCGGGAGGGTGAGAGAATTCACCAGAGCCAGAGCGGGGAGCAGAGCAGGCAGAAGGACCGAAGTACACTGCTGAGGGGAGCAGCGGGCGGCAGGAGAGGTCTGCGCGCCATGTGGGACCCTCCTCCGGTGGCCGGGGAGCAGCCGGGGATCGAACGGGCGCCGCAGAGGCCGCGGGCAGCTTCGCAACCCAGCGCTCAACAGCTGCGCCACCGGGGAGGCCCTCATTTTCTCTTTTTACAAACACAGAGGGCAATGGCCTGGACCTCAGTAACCCTGTGATACTAGAAGGAAAATGACCAATGAACCCATCTTCAAGCTATAACACGAGGATATGAGTCAAAAAGTTTCTACTTAATTTCAGGTGAGTTAATGGATAGGGATCCATTTCCATTCCATTCCATCCACACAACATCCAACAAATAAAAGTATTTGTTGACAACATAGTATAGGTTTAAAATATCAACTGGTTAAGTCTCATCACTATGAAGCTATGGGCAGCCACTGCAGTACAAGTTTGATCCTCTGACCAGGAGCTAACCCACATGGCATGGAAGACCTCTCCTGTCTTGCCTGCTGCTCCCCTCACAGTATATTCCAGTAGATCTGTCTGCTCTGTTCCCCACTCTGTCTCTCATGATTCCTCTCACCACCACCACCTCCACACCTCTGGCCTATACCCCAGCTTTTGTATGCATAAATAAATAAAATAAATCATTATATACATATATATCTCTCCTGGAGTCAACATGGCAACAAACTATATGGGATAAGAGTGATCCAGGGATATGCTGGCATAGATAAAAAACAAACCATTGAATAATCTTTATTTTTTAATCACCATACTGCAATAGATATCCACATTCCTACCCCCAACCTCAGACCTTCCTGAGGTGGTGGATGTAGGGGATCTTAGACTTACTTTACTCAAAACTGACTTTGTCATCTTTCCTCCCATTGTAACATTCTCCACTATTCTCACCCTCTTAGTTGGTGGCAGCACTTTTATCTATATTACAATTCTGCAAGTGACCCTTATCTTGACTGATTTTATTTTCTAAATATTTGTTAAATTTACCAGCTACTGGGCCTCCCTGGTGGCACAAGGGGTTATGCACAGCACTGTGAAGCTATCCGCAGCCACTGCAGCACAAGTTCAATCCCTGGCTGACCAGGGAGCTACCCACATGGTGCAGCAGACCTCTCCTGACTTGCCCGCTGCTCCTCTCAGCAATATATCTCAGTCACTGCCTGCTCTGCTCCCCACTCTGTCTCTGGTGAATCTTCACACACACCCCCACACACCCCCACACACCTCTGGCCTGTACCCCAGATCTTGTATGCATACATAAATCTTAAAAAAAAATTGCCAGCTACTTTCCATTCTTTTCTTTTTTTTTTTTTTTTAGGGGGGGGTCTCCCTTTTTTTTTTTTTTTTTAAATGGAGGCATGTTTTTATTTATTTCTTTCTTTGTTTGTTTGTTTGTTTTGTTTATACATGCACTGGGTACAGTCAGAAGCGCGGGAGGGTGAGAGAATTCCGAGAGCCAGAGCGGGGAGCAGAACAGGCAGAAGGACCGAAGTACACTGCTGAGGGGAGCAGCCGGCGGCAGGAGAGGTCTGCGCGCCATGTGGGACCCTCCTCTGGTGGCCGGGGAGCAGCCGGGGATCAAACCAGCGCCGCAGAGGCCGCGGGCAGCTTCACAACCCAGCGCTCAACCGCTGCGCCACCGGGGAGGCCCTACTTTCCATTCTTTTCAGACTTGCCTAATTTAAACCCTCATTATTCCTCACCTGGACTGTTGGAATAGCATGGTAACTGGTCTCCTGCTCTTATTTTTTCATACTCATCTGTGTAAATATATTTGCCTCTTTCCCAACAATTCCAGTCTGCATTCAGAATTTGAAAGCAGCAGTCGAGCATAAGCAATGGCATAACTGTGTTTTAATAAAACTTATCTACAATAACAGGTGAGGGCCATATTGGCCCTTGGTTTACAACAGTTACCAGAGTTATCTGTAGAAAATGCTGCACTTACCATGCAGCTATGTCACTTCCCATCAAAGAAAAACTGTTGATAATGTACATTGTCTATAAGACAAAAGATCCAAGTTTCTAAATATGACCTAAAAGTGTGATGTGGACCCTACCTACTAACTTTTAATCTCTACAAACCTTGCACTTCATGCTTATGCAACACTGAACTATATCTAGTTCCCTGCACACAGATGCTCCCTGATGTTCCTAGTCTTCTATCTTTATCCATGCTCATGTTCATCCCTCTGCTCAGAACGACCTATTGACATTTCCTCTTCACTGAATGGCTAATTACTATTTTTTTTTCTAACAAATCCCAAACCTTTTTCTGAAAGCTTCCTGCTCTATGCAGGACAAGGTGCTCTCCCATGATCCAGATAATCCCTCGTTTACCATTCTGTTAGTACTATAATACATGGCATTGTGATTATCTGTTTTTCTCCCTTATAAGCCATCACACACTGATTCCCTCCATGGGAGGTTTCCAATGCTTTATTCATCCTTCAGTCCAACCACACAGCACCTTTCTCAGCACTTGGTAGAGACCATAACTATTTTTAAATGTGCATTAAATAAGTGAATATTTGAATTGAGTGCACTGAACTAATTTGATTTTTTAAGCTTATATAAATAAAACAAGCTTATTAATACTAGTCTCTGTGTACATATATTTTGTTATATTTAAATATATTAATGTGGGCATATATGTGTATATATAAATAGAAGTCACATATGTATATACATTTTTACAATTTTATCATTGAAAATTTCAAACATATACAGAAATAGAAAGGATAATATAACCCCCCATACCTTTACCCAAGTGACATATATTTACATATATTAACCCAAGTGTCACATATTAGACTGGGGAAAGAACCCTGTCAATAATAGCAACAGAATGTGCTTCCTGTCTGTACCATCTTCAGTAACAGATATAGAAGAGAGTCTGATCTCCACTTAAAATGGGCTCAGACTAAGTCTGAAATCAGGTAAAATCTTAGCTCTCTCAACAACCACTAGAATCTTATGGAACTTAGATAAATTTGGTTACATTAGCACTCTGACACCTAGGTGTTTAAAACAAAAGTCTATGTCCAAGGACATAGCAGCCGAAAGAGAAAATTATGTTCATTCTTCCTTTTCACCCTGAGCCCTGAGTCCTAGTAATAGACTTTACTCTCCAGAAGAGCTCTTATGTCTGGTTGGGTCCTTGACACAGGAATGAGTTGGCTAGCCCAGTCTGGGAACTGGCGCAGGTCTAAGCAATCAACGCCAAGATCAGATGTAATAAGATGATATTTTAATCTATGTCTGCCTGGTTCCTTTGTCTTATCTCAAAATTCTATCAAGAAAGATCAAGCTCATTAAGGACTTCATGTCCTTTAGATCTCAACTTAAGTGCTCTTTCTTCAGGGACCATGCTGCCTCAATGCCAATTTTCTTGTATGACACTTGCCCATGTTATTAGAGCATGAGATTCAGAATAACAGCAACTATATCTGTTCTTTTTCAGTGTTGTGTCCCTAATGCCTAGAATAATCCTGATATGTCACCTGTTATCATAAATATTGTCATTGATTAGACTTTACATTAATTAGTAAGAAATAAACATCTATTGTATTATGACACCAAGATTTTGGGGTTTATCTAGAAACTACGGTTAACTTAATGGGTAATTTGGTAGTGGGTACACCATGATAGGAGGAATGGAGGGATTCCTAATGTTACCTCAAAAAAATTTAATTAAAATAAACCCTAAAAAAATGGTGATGCTATTAGCCATGATAGAGATATAGAAGCAAAATTTGATACAGCTGTAAAAATGAAGACTTCCATTTAGCCATATCTACTTTGAGATTCTTCTAACATATCCAAACAGCTAGGACTAGTAGACCAGAGATCAGAAGAAAGCTAGAGGCAAATGTAAGGAAATTTAGGAATACAAGTGATTAAAGCCAGTATCCAGACTGAAATAACAGAGAGAGAATATAGAGGAAGAAAAGATAAAGTTCTAATTTGGGGAAATATCAACATTTAAGGGAAAGCAGAAAAAGAGGGGGAGGTCAGAAGAAAATATTTTCTCAACATTTTTCATGATTGTTATTTTCTGTAATAAATCAAAATATTTTCACAATAAATCAATCCTAAAATTCTGTCTATTAAAGAAATACTTAAACTTGACAGTTACATAAGCCATATTATTGCCTCTACTATTAAAACCTTGAATTCAATGAATTCCTTAATGTTTTGCTTTTCACAATGAAAACTAAATTTCAATAAACTATCCCTTGCCTAAAATACAAAAATTCAAGTAAATATTGTACAAAACTCACAATCCAACATGTGGCCCCTGATGAATTCCATTACACATTCTATCATCTCTTTGATAAAGAATTATTACCTATATCATTTACTTTCTAACGTTTAATCCTTTCTGTATGCTTTCACATTTAATCCTTTCCATATGCTTACTCACACATTATTCATGCGACACCACTAAGTAATCTGTAAAGTTAGTAAATACAGATGGGGATCCAGACACATTGACAAATGACCAAAAGGGACCATTGCCTTACTATGGGTCCCACATGAAAACAAAGCCCATTCCAGGAGATAGAAGAAATGTCTACCAGGGACACCTGCAAGAAAAATATACCCACTTAAAAATGCTATTTCAATCCCCTAGGTTATCCATTCATCAGGTCCCTATAG